TTCGAAGCAGATGGAATGATACGCCGAACGTCGCCCACATAAAGAATTCTTTAACTCCTTAAAGGTGGTGTATGGACCGAGGTTAGAGCCGCTAAGGGCGCTGATCGATGGTAGTTCACGCGCTACCTTCACACAGACTGCAGACATAATGCAGATCTGGCAAAACACCTTGCCTATTTCTTGAAAAACCGTTCAGAGATTGACTGGCGTACTTTGAACGGCCTGAAGCAGCACGATGTGAAGACGAGTCTGACGGACGCGCCGAAACTTGGTGAGACGCAGAGAACACTTGATCAGCTGTGAAACGGCAAGTGGGCCGGTGCCGGCCGAATCCTGCCTGATGTATTGAAACACGGCGGACCTACGTTCGTGACTTCGCTGCACCACTTGGTGCAACGCGTATGGCATGAGAAGTAGGTGTCTCTTGAGCTGAAGGATGCCGTTGTGCTACCACTGTACAAGGACCAAGACAGCAAGCAATGTGCCACGAATTATCGTGATAGTGACTTTCTGAGTTGTGTGGGCAAGTTGATTGCCCGAATCCTTCTTAACCGCCTAGTCAGTCAGGTTGTGGAACCGAACGTGGCGGAAGAGCAATGCGGATTCCTTTCGGGTTGCAGCACCATAGACATGGTGATTGCTGCTCTTCCGTTGTTAGAGCAGTGTAAGAAAACGACACCAGCCATTGTAATAGCCTTTTGTTGATTTCACTACAGCGTTCAATACGGTGAACCGCGAGGCATCGTGGCTGGTGTTGGTTAAGTTTGGCTTTCTGAATCATTTTGTAGCTGCAATTGTATGTCCGCAAATTGGTGTGCGGGAGAGGGTGCAGCTGAGTGGACAAACCTAGGATGAGTTTGCAGTTGTCTCAAGTGTGAAGCTATACTGTGTCTTAGCTCCTGCCCTGTTTAATATTTATCGTTCTGCAATAAGCTTTTGTGCACTTGATGCCGCTTGTGTTTACGGTGTTCGTAAGAAGCACCGCATTGATGGTGGGTTGCTGAACGTCCGTCGTTTCGGTTCCAGAACCCTAGTCTTTGAGATAACTATCCGTATATTGCTGTTTGCTGACGACTGTTCGTTGTTTGCACACAGCGTAGATGAGTTGCATCACATAAATAGTGCTTTGGCTTGGACAGCGACTTGCATGAGGCGCATAACTCAGCCCACTGAGCTTTATGGTTTTCGTCCACTGCCGTCAATTTTAGAGTAAACAGCAACAGCGACGCTGCACGCTGCCTGGCAATTGATCGATCGCGGTTTATCGGTAGACACTGCAGAATTTGCTAGCCAATAGCATCGGGCGAATACTGCTCTGAAGGCGGAACGACATTGGTTATTTTGAACATCTACTTCGCTGACTTTTGTGAAGATTAAGTTTATTTATTAACAGAAATAACGCTGCTTTGACAGCGCTTAGACTGAACACTTCTATGCAACTTGGTTCACAATGATAATGCTTGTTTTTCATGATTATGACTAAAAAATACGGAGAGGATGTGAACTACATCGTGATGTGAGAATGGGTTACCCGGTTTCTTACCTGTATCCTGTTCATCGGTGTACAGACTCTGGCCGGGGATTAGTGCTTCTAAACAATAACACACCGGTCAAACAAAGGTGAAAGAAAATGGTCCAACAACTTTTCAGTAAGAATACAGACTGTGAAAGCGTGGCTTATCGATCATTTTGAATTTGATATTCGGAGTTTGTAGCATATTGGGTCAGAAAAGTTATCACAGGGATAATAGGCTTGTGGTGCACAATATACGTGAGAACCCACATGCGCGTGCTATGATCCCATGATTTGTCCTTCGTTATTTTTTTCGAACCAATGAGCTTCTCGCTTTGTGCAATACGTGATTCTAAGTAACCGCGATGAGTAGATATTGCCTAGAAATGCAGCTTCTCAGTTCCGTGCTAATGGAATGTTGCCCCCTCGGTGAATATGCTGGAATGAACGCTCATGGTCGCGCCTGAAACAAGTTGGGCAGCGTAACCATATTTATCTCCTGCAACGGCGATCCAGACGGCGACGGGAGAATAGGCTATACGGCAGTGAGTAGTCTTTAGACAGCATAGCTTTTCCAGACTCGTTTCTCACGACGTCACATTTCGCATTTGTAAGAAATGCCTATTTTGCCAAGTTAGGTTGTTGGAAGGTAACTTTCAGTCTACAAGAGCGTTGCCAATAACCCTTTCGTCATTAGCTAGAATAACACTAAGCACCTATTGCACACTCGTTGCGCAGGCCAGTTACGTCTGTCGAAGCTTCACCACAATTCTACTGCAGTAGCCCGGTAATGTCTCCGTTCCAACCAGCCAAACACACCGTTTGCATCGATCGGTAAACTTTCGTTGAGGCGTGCTATAGATTGGTTGACTCCAACTCAGCCATCCATGCCTGATGCAGTGTTGTCACGATGGACGACACTGGCAAGTACACATGTACTCACATGCATGCATACGGACGTTCTACACTTATATGACCGGATGTGAGGTTTTGTGATAGACCAACGTCTACCATTGGGCAGGTGGCAATTTAGTGTGCTCTACCTCACACCCAATGAGTGACCCTTTGCCCCACATTAACAGAGTACAGGGATCAGAGTTTTAGGACAGGCTGGAATTTCGGAGGTAGTTCGTCGCAGTCTTCTCTCAGTAAGCAGGTTACGGAACGTCTGGGAAAGCATCAGACAGTTACTTCGGACAGCTGGGAATTGTCAGTCATGCACCATCCTCTGAACACCCTCCCCCTGCGTTTCAGCCTCGTGAATTCCGGATACCAGCCGCTTGTGCTATTAAGACATGTGCGACGGCTGCGTATGTGGATGACTGACAGTTGGCTGCGATATAGCCCGTCTCATCCTTCACTGTTTCCTGTTTACTCATGAGATCAATGCGCACTGTGCGTTGGTGTATGCTATCTCAAATCAGAAACGAGTTTGTGTAGAGTGATCGATCAACGGCCGCACCTTTTCACTTGCATTGTTTTGCGCTCGATGCGTGACCATTCCTTGCAATTTGCTGGTTTACGCGCTACCCCAACGCTAGTTGTTATCGAACTCAGAATGCGGACAATTGAGGGTTGTTGGTGTATTAACTTACTACGGTGTAAATAACACCGTAAATCTTGAATCCATCCTTTTATCTTGATCAGTTCGAGATCCTTTCCTACGCGTTAGCATTTATGGTGGAAGACGAGGCTGGCTACCGTAGATTACGGTCGATTACAACTCGAAAAATAGAGTAGCCGATGTGGAAATCCGGTACAATTTTTGAGAATGGGAAGCCGAGAACGGAGAAATACCGCGGATATTTTACTCATTGGAACGAATTTGTGTCCGTAGGAATAAGTACGATGGAGTAAATGCAGAAGGGGATTCCGAGTAAGGCGTGATACTAGTGAATTTCTTTGCTAACCGCCCACAATTAATGTGTGGGACAAATTTCAGGTGCCCATTGGCATCCATATTGAGCGGTCTAGCGCTTATAAATGCAGCGAAACATGCGGAATAGAAATCCGATAACGACAGAATGATAGGAAATATTTTGTTGAGCATTTGCGTATTTTTTGTAACTGGACTACTTTCAGGCTCCTGTTGGTCGTGCTTACCGAGGTTCGGGGCGTATAACTGAGGCAAAATGAATAAAACTGCACTACCCAGCGTACATGTTAACATTTGTGGGTGTGGAACTTTCCGGTAAAAGGAGTAGCAAATTTCAGTGCGATGGTGGCGAATGTGGTTAGTGATTGCCCGAAGTTAGTCCCAAATGGGATGAATTTCGGGCGCTGTGATTGAGTCCCATATCTCCATACATAAGAACATTTTACAGCGTCGAAGAGTGGGTACGTGTGCCCCTATTGCTATGGTCCTAAAACTGTGTTAAAAGCAATGGAAAATTGCTGTAAGGAAACGGGGAATGCTGTTGCAATTATTTACTGTGATGCAGTAACCTCTCAAATCGGGCCAATTTCGTGCGTTCAGCATGAAAACCCTAGTTTCGTACATGGGAATAATTTAGAGTATTAAGGAATGCATACATGCGCAGCTTTGCAGTCGTCTTATAACTGCGTTAAAAGCAATAGAAAATCATTGTCCGCGAAGTTCGGATAGCTGCTGCAGTTATTTGCAACGCACCAGAAATCAGTCCCAAATGGGAATAAAATCGGCCGCTCATGACCTCGAAATATTTCGTTATCCGGACATCTTTCGGACGCCTATCAGGCGATCGTGCAGCTGAATATGGATCGTTCAACACAACTGGCCTATGCTCATCCCGTAAGCACAACTGTCTTGTGGGTTGACACCAATCAACATGCCAGACATGCTAGCGGTCGGCTGTTGTTGTTTGTGACCATATATGGGAAAGGAAACTGTGCTGGAATGCGGATTAGTCTTCTTAGCTTCACGCGTATATTGGTACCACGATAAGCTAATAGCATTCTCAACGAGTTTTGCGCTGCTTTTATTGGCCGAAGCACAGTTAGTATCACGAGTACCAATCATATCCTTTGTTTATTTCCGTCATTAGCAATTGCGCCGATTATTGCTTCTGGTAATGTTCAAACAGATGAAGCGAGTCTGTGTTGCCTGGTAAGATAAATATAGTCACGAATTTAATGTATCACCCAAATTTAACTGCTGCCTTCGGGTTCTGTTGAATTGTCCAACGGACCCAGCATTACTTCTCTGTTGTCAATTTTAGAGGTAAGCCTTTAGGGTATGTGTAGGTGAACAGACTGCATCTAAAGTATCTCAGTGCGTTCGTGTGAATTCATTTCTGGATTTGCAATTTAACACGTCAAACACATTGCAGTGACCATATCTGATAACCTACACAGACGCAAATGTCCAAAAATGCATTTAGTTCGGTCAAATGAGTTGGAGGGAAAAACAAGCTAACACAGAAACCGACTATCCCATACTGCTTCCTCCACTGTTAACTTAAAGCTCCGCTCTGACGCTTATGAATATTCTAGTAGACGACAAACTCACTTTTCCGTCGACTTTCTTACGTATTTTTCTTCCTCCGATTGCAGTGGCTCAATCTCCACGATACATGCGGTTTCGTGCATCAGTTCATGATGTTGCAGACGTACTGTTGATGTCAGTCTTGAGGGTAATTCGCGACTGAACTTCGTCGGCCGCTGCTGCTGCGGTTGCTGGAACTGCTGCTGTTGCTTTGAGCCAAGTGCGCTCAGAGACAGGTCCCTCTTCTCCAAGTCATCTTCCCACCCTTGACTGACAGTGGTATCTGGCTCGGGACGTTTCACACTTTTAAGTACTTGGGTCATTGCTTCAAACTGGCTAATAGGTTTCATGCGAACGTCCCCGGTGAAATGAAATTCCAAACATAATCCGCTAAACATCAGGACGTGATTAATGTCGGATCCATTGAATCTTATCGGAGGGGTTTTGCGGGATTTCTGACAAGAAGATGAGTGAGGAATACAGTAGCCTGAAAAAAACATTCGATTTCCTAAACGAAATGTTACAATAGGTTGATCGTCAAACAACATTTTGTGCATACACATGAAACTAAAAATTCTTGCTAATCTAGCCGTGGCTGCAATATGTGACTGATTTTTCGGGTCAGTGTCAGAAACGACTAGTCAGCTTTTTCCTTTTACGCGTCGTATACGACGTCTAGCAGCACCCAAAGTGAACGTTCGCAGGACGCTTGTATTGCCACATATCCAATGCAAATCATACAAGATGTTAGCAGTGCACCAGCGCAGTTGACTGTGCGCTAGCCGTTGATATCAATCACCTACATCAAACGTTCAGATCAAGAGAATTCATTTAAGTCGAAAATCATGGTATTCGGCTGAACAGCCCTTCTGGCGCTTGTTTCTTCTAATCCACGTACAACTCAGGATACATGGAGAAATGCGCGACTGCCAATACAATATTCTATAACGTCAGGAGGTCATTTTCCCTCGTGACTCTAGTGATCTTAAAAGCACTGTTTACTTGCGCACGGGGTTAACCCTAGATTGCGAACTACCACCAGACTATCCTCTTACGAAGGCCAGATGTGTCGTGATAGGGGAGGTTCAGCGGCGGGGATGGAGGTTAATCTCTGTACTCTGTAAAATACCTTTATCAACTTCCGCAAATGAACCAATTATCCTTGGAGTATGGAAAAGTGGAACACAGAGCAAAAACATAAGGCCTCACAGGTCCCGTGGGATGGTTTGCGTGAATTACAGTGATTCAATAAAAAAAGTTGCATAGCAGTGAAACGCGCATCTGTGGACTCACCATAATATCCACGTTAACACACAGTCAATCCGTCTAAGCTGATTTCGTGGGCGTCGGTGAGCACAACTTTTGGTTGCCTCTTGTCGGAACTCGATGAACAGAATTCAGATCAAGTAGTGCAAGTGGTGTAACGCTTCGTCGAGTCGTTTTTAAAAAGTGTGTAGCGTGGGCGCGGAACTGACAAAACTCAAAAAACCTTGCCACGGTTAACAAATTCAAAGGGAAAATAATTCCGGCGGCATTTCAGCCGACTGTAGTAAGTGCCCGATTTCAGCTAGCAAATGCCTAAGTTTGTGCTACGGCAAACGTTCCGAAGGGGGCGGCAAGCGTGACTAGGGTTCTCCAGATATGGTACGCCAAAAGCAGTTATCCCTGTAGAAGGCGATAACTTCCGCTGTACAATCTTAGGGCTTCCAGTCGCGTTTGGTACGGCAGGTGGAACAATCCCCTCACATTTTTACTTACTCTTCGCTGCGGTGTCTCCAGCGCAACCCGATCGTGTCTTAGGTAGGGTTGCCAGACTTGTATCGCGCACTCTACACGGGGCCTAATATGTGCGTTGAGTATTTGTGACAAACTTGAGAACTCGAACTGACCCAAAGCCCCGCCGTATGGAACCAACCTGTTGGTTCGCGGTTTTGGACGCCTTCAAAAACTGCTCAAAACAGCCGTCTTGCATCAACAACCCAAGATCGCGCACTCGTGTGGCGGCCTTCAAGGTGCGGCCTCCAAGCTTATATGCGTTAGTGGACTTGTGGCCTTCATGTATAGTTTTGCACTTGCCTACGTTTAACGGTAGTAGATTTGCGTTTGAGTATTCAAAGCACAGTCTAAGTCCAATTGCATCATATCGTCATCTTCCTGACTACCGACCGTGCGCTATATCTTAACCTCCTCGGCAAAAAGTATATTCGACTCGGTGAGACGCACCAGGTCGTTTATGAAAAGCAAGAATAACCGCACACCTAACACTGATCCTTGTGGAACACTGCATTCCACCTCAGCGGGGTCGTACAGGGAGTCCAGAAACTGCACCTTAAGCAGCCGCTGTACAAGTACGTTTCCGTTCCATCCAAGGAGAGGGCCCCCAAATTCGTACGTTTGCGGCTTCCGGAGAAGGATATGTTGCACTAAGCAGCCGATGGCTTTAGAAAACTTGTGGTGGGTGACATCAGTAGCAGTCGCAATCTCGGCTTTTTCAGTCCAATTGCCATGCGCAATCAGTAGGTTAGTAGTGAGCTACTGAGACGAAAACATTAAACTCCTCCTACTCCATAGTAAGATTAGTGGTACATGAGCGATGCTGACGGAATCCGTGTTGTTGTTTGGCTATGATGTTACATATTCCTAAATAGCCCATTGGTGTCTCAGCATTGATCAACTTCATCACCTTTGAAAGTACTAGTAGGAATACCACTGGGCGAGAGTTGTGGGTTCCGATCAGATAGGACCCTAAAATCCTACTTTCACATGATAGCTGCTTACTTTTCATCCAAACACCTCTAAAATGAGTAAGCTAATGCGTCGGCTACGCTCGCATCTACTACCTGCAGTAGTTTCGGGGAATGCTGTCAACTCCGGTGGAATTATGGTTGCGCACCGATAGCAGCTTCCTCAAAACGATCGCTGAACTAAAAGTGACGTGTGTAAACCCGGCCGTCTGGGGGGAATGTGGCTGGTCTACAACACATGCTGGTAGCGTGTCGAAATATTGGATCATGTTGTAGCCTTAGACCGTTGATTGCGTCTAATGCAGATTGAGCTCGTTAGTTTACTGAGATAGTAGTGGACCACTACACTTCACTTTCCGAAGTCTGTTCGCATGTCGGTCCAGAAGCTTGCTATTAGCACAAAACCTTTCTGATAGGCTCTGCTGGCGTACTAAATTGTCCTCACGGACAAGTGTAGTAAAGTTATTACGCTGCACTGAATAATTGCTCCAGTTGTCAAGATTTGGGTATGCTCTGTATCCACACTACGCTGCGTCTCTCACCGCCATGTGTTTTCGGGTGCTACTCCGAGAGAATGATTACGATCTTGCAGAACCAAGGGGCCTGTTTTCTGATACGGATTTAATTCGATCATTGAACTTGCCAGCAAATTCCATCCAGGCTGCAACAATGGAACAGTGATCCGAAAATTCTTAGGTGACTTCTCTAACAAGTTCTGCTAGTATGCCGTAGTGCGCTGTTGTGAGAAACAAGTCAGTATGTTCTTGTAGATATTCCGCATAATACACATAGTCGTAGAGTATTGTTACGTGATCAATCAGCCCCAGAGGACTCTCTATCGTTGGCTTCTCGATCATGAGCTCTTCGTTCGTGAGCAGTAAATCAAACACAGATGCTCTGTTTCTCCCCCTAAATCGGGTAAGCGATCTAACATGATCGAAGTGCGGAATGCCTGCTATAATCTCTTACAGGTCTACTTTGAATTCCTCTCTAGGTGATGCCAGAACTTTTAGATCGTGGACACCGAAGTCATCTGAGATGAGAACAGGTTTGTTTCGTCGTCGCATGGCCTTCCCAAAACTAATGTCAGGCGGGAACCCATCTCTGGGGTGGACATTGGGGATAAACAATTTCCACAAGGCAACTTTTGTTGCGTATCAGTTGTAGACCGCACCACGGTATGTCTATGATCAACGTTTCCGGATCGTCCACTGGTTCGCACTGCAAATCAATGCGGTAGTATAAAAACACCCCATCGCCCTTGCTTGGGCGATCGTTTCGAAGAAAGGACATATCTTGTTGCCTGACTTCTTCGTAATTTCTGACTACAACCACGTTTCAGTCACTAAGAGGGGACCCCAGTCACATGCTGCTTGACAAAGACGAAATTCCGCAAGTTTGTCCTTGAGCGTTAGTCTAGATGCAGGAAGGTTCCTCTGTTCTCAGTAGTGAATCGAGGATGTGTATTTTGGGTGTGATGTGCAGACCGGTGAAAGGTCGGCCACTAATCGTCTATTTGGTGAGGCGATAACGAACTCATTTGTGTCAGACCTAGTGACCACCATAAAATTTTTGCACCTCGCTTTGTGTTTAACGTATGAGGTACGTACAACAGTTCCGTTGCCTAGCTAACTAATGTTATCCGAGCCGTTATCGGGAATTGGTCCGACTAAATGGCCGCTCTTGTGTGATAACTTGGGGGACGCTGCTTTGATCCGAAGTTCGGACGGAAGGTTGCTGCGACCGGCATATCAGCACTGCGTTACCCTTATTAACATTTGTCTAAACTGAAGTATCACTTTTACCATTCTCGGACCGCACCTTTTGTAGTTTGGCCATCTGTGCAGTCTCGAGAGCAATTGTGCTATTACTTTTTCCATGGAGAGGGTCTCTCGAATGTACCGCCACTGTTCCTAGTCGTGAGTGGTCGCTTCACGTTCACCATGACCTCCATTCGCACGAACACCATGGATAAGCATGATTCTGACTACAGATTGTTTCCAGTATTCTTTCAAGTCGTGCTTCGCCTGTTTACACGCGCTCCACAACATATCAGGAAGCTGCTTTTGAAACATGTCCCATTCCGGAGGCGAACTATTGATTACAGGACAGTTACTACTTCCTCGGGGGAGTACTCTTGGCTAACGGAAGTACTCTGAGTATGGGTACGGGGGACCCGTAGTAAGTTCGTGGGCTTAACTACGACACCTAGGAAGTCACATATGAAGTTCCACTTGACCACATCATCGAGTTGTTTTCATTTTAAGGAATTTGACATCGATTCTAGTACTTTGGCGCAGATTACCGATGGTACACTACGAGCAGCCTCGGTTGAGGTCAATACCCCGGCTGATCTGCATACAACCGGTGGAAGGTGTGTACGTACAGGTTCGCCTACTTCATGTACTTTTGGTCTAGTGGGAATAATTAAGCGCTTAAGTTTCTGGTTGACTTTGACATCAACTAAGTTCCGACCACTACTAGTATCGTGGTCCTTCTAAAATTTCGGAAGAATTTGTAGTGTGAACGAAATCATTGCCGCACTTATTCAGCCGGACTGGCGGTGGTTTTTTCAGACGCATTTGAGCAACGTATGATATTGACGCTTAAATCCACAGGTGGAATTTTTAACGCGCTGCCCAGCCTTCAAGTTCAATTTTGAAATGGAGCCTACTGGAAAGGACTTGAGTTTACTCTCTGTCACTCTTTCT